TCAATGTATCTGGGTGCGGTGTCGATGGAGGAGGTAGAGGAGGCGGAGGTATAGGCAGGCTTGCTTCCATAGGCGTGCCTGGTGCCCAAGATGGAGGAGGTAGAGGAGGCGGAGTTAGAGGCATGCCTGCTTCCATAGGCGTGCCTGGTGCCGACGATGGAGCATAGGAAAAGACGGACGGCGTAAGCGGGGAAGGAGGGCTGAACGGCAAGAAAGCCGGAGGCCCTGGTGGAAAAGCGGGGCCCGTCGACGATGATGGAGCCACCTCGGCTGTTGCAGCTCTCTTCATGTCGGCATGCAATCGAATCATTGCCTCGGCTTTTGCACGCGCTTGGTTGAGCAAAGCCCACCCCGAAGGAGGTGGAGCTGGGGCACTTTTGTGAAGAGGCGGTGCCGTGCCACCCGACGCGGATGGTGCAACATCCGGTATTATAGTTGGCGGTTGAGCAGCCAAAGTCACCCGGCGGTTGCTCTGGACGAGCACGTCCGCCAAAAGCGCTCTCAAGTCGGCAGCCGGCACACGCTCGACCTTGAGCTCGTTTGGCAGAATGCTTGCTAGCCCTGCCTCGAACAACTGGTATTGAGCAGGATGGCACCGCAACTCTCGAATCGCCTCCAGGTACAGAAGGAATTTCTTCAAGGTGAGCTGGATGCCAACCTGATTGTTGCGCCAATACCCCCTTTGCTCGCATGGAAGGTGCGGTTGGCGGATGGTAGCACTCACATCGGCAACTACCACCCATGGTGGTCAAAACATAGCCATACCTTGCATACTCTGCACGACGGTCGTGCTCTTCGACGAGGGTGTCCGTCAAAACCGACTGGTCCACCGTCGGAGCAGCAATGGCTCGCAGCTCGGCAATGAGCATAGGTTGCTTCACCGGAATGCCGCTTGTATTGATCACCAACTCCTGTGTCTCCAACTCCCCAAGGCAGGCTGGAATCCCCAACAGCCGTTCGACCGAGCCAGGGGTCGAGGTAAAAAGGTCGATGTTTTGGAGAAGCTGCCTCGAAAGAGACAGCTGACCTTCCTCCTCGAAACGGTGCGCAAGACGAGCAATCATACTCGTCGAAAAGGCTTCCACCTGGGCCACACTCCCACTTTGGGAGTTCACAAGACAGAGCGGAGGCGAGGCTTCCGGAAGCTCCATCCTTTCCAAGGTCCCTTACAAAGGCTCCAGGCTTTGAGCAAAACACTCCTAGAGCACACAACACCAGCAATGCTTTCAGAAACACTCCTGGCCAACGCAAGCTCCGAAAGGCACACTTCCTCTCTTCACTCTGTCCCAACAAACACTCAGGCACACAAGCGCTGGGGTGCAAGTCACTCCTACGTCCTACACGCAAGACACTCCTACTCCTAATGCAAACACTCTGAGGCTGGAGCGGCACAGGCCCTACCCCTACGCACTCAAAACCCTTGTCTCCACAGCGTGTGTCCCTACTGGTTTGCTTCTCCAAAGACGTGTTGCTTGCAGACTTAAGCAAAACAGCTGCGGCGGAACATAAAGCTTCAGCACAACATGCAGAGGGTGGGGTTTCCAGGTCTACTCCTACTTTTGCAACTGCAGCATGCTCACATCCACTCAAACGCTCCTGTAAAACATGCTCATGCAGCTCGTGTTCCCCCACATGTTGCTTCACTGAAAATGCTCGCAGCAAAAACTTAAAAGGTGTCACCTCCAATGCTCTTCCTACGTTGGGCGGTGCCTTCTTCTGCACCTTATCCACTTCCATCGCGTCGTCGTTCGGGCTCCACCCCGGCTTGGGTGAGTCCCCTTTGCTTCTTCTTCCTTTCGGCTTTGCCTTGGTAGGGCCAATCTCCTTAGCCAACGCCCACCAGCTCCTGGCTTCACGAACCAAAGGCACCCACATCGAGGAACCTCGTTCCGTCTGCTTCACCAAGCAGCTTGCTCCAGGCTCTGAGGTGAGCCAGGTACTCCATCCCGAAAGGGATGCTTGCCAAGAACTGACTACGTTGAAACCAATCTTGCAAACCAAGACCTGTTGAAGCACTACGGGCCCCAACTTCCCAAACTTCACCCGAATGTCAACCAACTTGACACATTCCATGGGCGTATCGCTAGCACTCATGAGCACAGGAAGAGGTCCCGAATGCTCCTTGACGACTTCGTAAAAACCCAACGCACTCTCTGACAACACGTGGCAGGTGGCTCCACTATCAATGAGCCATGCGAAAGAGCTATTCCTAGAGGAGGACTGGTTCAGTCTCTCGATCTCTCCGTTCGTCATGGTGAGACGAGGGGGCTCAGCTTCATTGGGCTCATTAGTTCTTGTCCCCGGACCCAAGCCACTCAGATGATGAGACCGCATCGCCATCACCTGGTCAGACTGCTCGTCTTCCACAGCTCGGCCCTTGGGCTTTCCTTTGTTCTTGGGCTTCCCCTTGGGCTTTCCACCCTTTCCTTTGTCTGTCTTCCCTTTGCCTTTGCCCTTGCCTTTAGGACTCTTCTCTCGATTCTTGGAACCAGAAGGCTTTCCACCTTTCGGTTCATCCCTCTTCTTCCCTTTTCCAGAGCTCTTGTCGGGGCACTGCCAACTCATATGGCCTGATTTGCCACAGTTCCAGCAGAGGCCGCGCTCCCCAACTGCATTCAGCGAACCGGCATCACACAATCGGGTTTGCTCCTCGTAGAACCGGATGCTTTCAACCAGTTCCTCCCAGCTCCCAGACTTCCCATGCAGGACAACGTAATGCCTACACTCTGGGCTGACAGATTGAAGAAGAAGGGTTGAACGATCAGAGGCTCCAAGCCTCAGTTCAGGGAACCGATGCAGCTTCTGGTCTACCTTCCCAAGCTCGTCCTCAAGGAAGCGGACGCAGTCAAGCGGTCGCTTGTACGAACTCGCCTTCGAAGTTAGGCGAAGGGCTTCATCTCTCACAGCAATGGCCTCCATGCGAGAGACAATGCTGAAGGTCTGGTGCATTTGACGCATCACCTCATAACCACAAGCAGCTTGTCCTTGACGCATCGACGTGCTTCTCACCAGTTCCATCCCACGTTCGAACTTCTGCAGACTTTGTTGCAGGTAGTAAAACAACCTTGCCGAACGCGAGGCTACCGGAACTGCCATGTCAGACTGCTTGATCTCACGGTCATGCGTCATTGCCTGGCGCAACTCATTGACATAGTTGTCGTCTATCAACGCCAGCCAGGAAGCAAGCACCTCGCACCACCGATGGTACTCCTCCAGCTCTCTCACACGCCCTTTTCCCATCGAAACATTATCGATGAGCGGCAATGCTGGCAGATACTTCTCTGCACGGTTACTTCCAACATGCAGGTTCTGTGATGGCGCCAGTGGAGGAGAAGAAGCTTTTGCCGTAGGACTTCCAGCAGCTGCTGCACTTGAAGCACCCCCAAATGGGTTGCTCACAGCTGCAGACAATGCTTCCTGCTCACGTCTCCTTCTCTCGTCGGCCTCCATCTTTGCCACCAGAACTTGAAGTGTCTGTTGCTGATTCTGCATCATCATTTGCTGACTCTGCATCATCTGGACCATCATCTGCTGGAGTTGAGGGTCAAGTCCGACGACCGTGGCGGGTCCTCCCGCTGAAGCAGAAGCTCCAGGGGATTGTGTTGGCGGTTGTTGCCCGTCCTGGGCACCACCGGGGCCAAACAAAGCTTCGTCGTCTTCGTCTTCAGGCACAGGGGTCGACAGCCCGGGGTCAGCCATGGCTTCTAGTTTCTACGAGCGTGCTACACACGCTCCGCTACCATGTGAAAACACAGCAGCAGCGCGCTGAACCCTCTTTTTCTCACGACTTGAGCCAAAGTCATAAGCCGGAGGCTTCGTCAGTGAAACTTTACACACAGGTGAAAACTCTGCTCTGCCACGTGTTCTCCACAGCCACAAAACAAACTCAAACGTCAGTGGGAGTTCTCGGGACCTACACTGCACCTAAAGCAAGCAAAAACGTGCACAGTCACTTCTACAGCTTCCAGACACACATCCCTACAACTCAAGCACTTCAAAAGGCTTTCCCACTGAAAGCAGCACTTCCGTCGAGTCTCCAAGGCACAACTACGGAGTTCCTACAACCACACACACACAACTCTGAGCCAGCATGCAGGACAACAAAGTTAACATGTGTTTAGACAGGAACTTTCACATAGTTGGCGGTAGGCCGCCTTGAGATCCAACGTTTTGCCAAAAACCTTGCCCTTGTGCAGTCGGCGAAACATAGCAGTGCTGCTGTGATGACGTCTGCATCATGAACATGAACTTTCCCGTGCGATTCAAAAGCCATGTTGATAAGGCTTGGCTCAGGTCGTCGATCGGCCTGAGTTTGTGGCCTTGTTGGATTCCAAACCTCTTGCTGATCAGCGCATCCTCGGGTAGGTCGGCCAGGCGGTAAGGACCTTGTGACCATCCCTTGTCTCTTTCCTGAATGGACTTACCCATAGTTCCTGAACAAATCTGCTGTTCTGGACGACTTCTTGTCTGATCTTGTCATTGTTGTCGCAGTGGAGTGCACTTAGATCCGCATCTGTCATGAGTGCTGGACGAACGTCTGGTTCCCAGCCTTCCGGTAGGGGGAGGCTCCCTGTCAAGGGGAAACCTTCCAAGCTGCCCCAAGTCGCCGTGGCTCCACAGCGCGGTGGTCAACACAACGAAGCTCTGGCCGCCGACACACAGCAGCCGCCACAAACTGTGAAGGCTTGTCACCGCCTGCCACAGCTACCAACCTGCCAAGCAACCCACCGCAGTAAGAAACTACGGGGTCGGGTCCAGCCCCAGGAGCCTCACCAAGCCAAAGGAATTGGATTCTAGGCTCCGCTACCATGTAAAACACACGCACTTTTACTTCGAGAGCCAAAAGCCTTGTATCGAGCGTAAAGCTTCAATGCAAAATCTACATGGAAAATATGGGGTAAATGGGTAGTTGAAATACTTGCAAAAGGATTGACACACAGGTCCTACCTAAGCATATCCGGGACTCACTCCGCAGCAAACGCATTCTTCTCTTTCAGGAGATGTTGAGTGCGTCAGCACATCCTGATAAAGCTATCGAAGAGGACTTTCTGAAAGAAGCGAAGCAGAAGCTGCGGGAGTTCTACTTAAAGCAGCTCTTGTTGCGGCCGAAACTCGAGAATCGTACTCAGAAAGGCTGGCAGAACATCTTGGAATCAGCACGCCTGAGCTTGGAGCCCAAGTTGGAGAAGTTGCAGCGAGTGGAGGACTTTGCTTTGGCTGAGAGGTGTTTGAACAAGAATCAGAGCATCTTGGAAGATTTTCAACAGATCACGTACATCATGAAGCCTTGGACTGGTGTGCTCAAGTGAACTTTGTGCACTCGTCTGAAGAGGGCAAGACTTTTGAACGTGACTTGGAGATCTCGTCAAGGTTGGACGAGGGCGAACCCAGCAGCTCCGGTGTGTTCAAACAGAATGTCAGGCGGTCTGAGGGCACGGTTGATCTGGTGTCCGACGAGCCGGGCCTGAGAGTGTTCAAGCGGTTGCGAAGTGCTCGTGCTGGCATCGACTTGGATTGGAGTAGAGATGGACCCTTCAGCAGGTACGAGCTCAGGCTCCCAGTTGCCCGCAGGCCCAACAGTTCCTCAAGCTTCGAACCCTTTTGCTCCAAGTCCTGCCGGGCAAGCTTCACCAGCGTCTCCAGGTGCTCAGATGTCTCAGCATCAGCTCGAAATGGTTGTGGATATGCTTGCTAGGGTTGCAACCACTAGTGCATCACAGCAAACTCAGATGAAAGAGACGTTGGATATGCTTGCTCGTCGAAACACCAGCGAGACGGGCATGTGGTCACGTTTCGTTGGCAAGCCTGACATTTTCCATCCGAAAGATCGCGAGGAAGAACTCAGTCAATTTCCAGAATGGGCATGGCAGTTTAAGCAATATTTGAGAGTGGTCAGCCCCTCAATACATGGTCTGGTTGAAGGTGTAGAAGCTGAGCTTGATGAAGAGTGTGATCATGAGTCAATGGTGGATGAAGCAGTGGAACATTCCAAGACCCTGTATGCCTTGTTGTCTAGCTTGCTGAGGGAGCGCCCTGTGCAAATTCTGAAGGCGATCCCCGATGGCAACGGCTGCGAAGTATGGAGAATGTCCGGACGCTGGCTCCATCTTCGAAGTCAAGATCGTTAGCGCTCCTTGGTGCAATTTCGCAGTTTCCACAGATGACTAACACCAACTACCACGAACAGGTCCTGAAGTTGGAAGAGCTTTGTCGCAAGTATGAACAGTCTGCAGGGAAAGCGGTAGATTCGGAGTTGAAAGCAGCGATCTTGCTTCGATCCTTGCCAGGGCCGTTGAGAACACATGTGTCTGTGAACTGCAAGGAGGATGCCAGCTATGAAGACCTGAGGGAAGTGATTTTGCGGTATGAGCGTGCTACTCAGAAGTGGACTACTCAGCTGGTCGTTGGGACTTCAAGCCGGTCCGACCCCAACGACACCTCGGGCCCCATGGATGTGGATCGTGTTTGGGAGAAAGGAAAAGGAAAGGAGAAAGGCAAGTACAAAGGCAAAGGCAAGGACCACAAAGGCGGGTACCATGGAAAGGGAGGAAAAGATCGTTTTCAGAACAACAACTACGACCAGAACCATTCTTGGCGGAACAATGGGAAAGGAGGCAAGGAGTATTCCAAAGGAAAAGGCAAGTTCTGGGGCAAAGACAAGGGCAAAGGCAAGGGCAAAGAGTCCAAAGGAAAAGGCAAAGGAGAGCAGCGCAAGGACAATGTGCCCTACAACAACTGCAAAATTTGTGGCAAACCTGGACATTGGAGCAAAGAGTGTTGGATGAACAAGAACCGGGTGAATCAGGTGGATGAAGGCACCTCAAACGCAAGTTCCAGTACAAACTCCACCGTGACCATGTCCTCAAGCCGCCCTCAAACTGCTTCCGTGAAGAGAATTTTCAATCTTGCCGATGAGTGTGAGAGATCCTGCACTGTGTATGCCATGGAGACTGTGTCTGAGGGTGAAGAGTATGTTGAGGATGAAGAGTCCTGGTGGTGTCGTCGTGTGGAGTGGTATGCGCTAGATGAAGATGACGAATGCCCCTGTGAAGAGCTTCCCCAGACCCTTGAAGTGTTCGATCTCACTTGTGAAGATGCCTTGCCAGGAGACGACGAGTGGTCCCAGAACTACGTCCGCGTGTTGGAACATGGAGGCCTTGAAGAAGAAGGAGGCCAAAGCTACTCGTCGTTTGAGGTTGTGCTGGATTCTGGGGCAGATGTATCGGTGATGCCAGAGTCGTGGCTTCACATGGGCATCGGACAGGCCACGTCAGAGGGTCAAGTCCAAATGTTGGATGCACAGGGAGTTGAGATGCCCAGCTTGGGTACCCGGCTTATCACCTTGGACATGGGCCCTGCATGCATTCAAGAACGGTTTCACGCTTCAACGGTTGGGAGTCCTCTGCTGAGTTTAGGGAGATTGCTCAAACAAGGGTGGACCCTGGACCATCGGAGCAACATGCTTTGTCTTTGCAATGAAGAAGTGGCAGTACCAGTCAACTTCAAGAAGAACTCCTTGACTCACCAGCACTCCAAGTCTCGGGGTCCACTGCGAACTCGACGAAAGTGCGCTTACCTTCGAGAAGAGGTCGCACATGGCTAGTGAGGGTTTCATCGGGACGTTCTTGATGGGATTCGATTGGGCTCATGTTGACTGCAAAGACCGACGCTTGGACTCTACACTTCATGTGAGCCCAGCACCTGTGATGAGCATTGATCGTTGGAAGTACCGCACCACGGCGGTAAAGATTGCTGGGAGATGGGAGTTGGTAGAGCTTCAACAAGATGTGAGCAAGTTGGAAGATTTAGAAGAGAGTTTGCCGGGTGTGCTCTATGCCACGAAGACTTTAACGATGATACAACGGCGCCCGAGTGATCCCGAAGATGTTGGTATGACTGTCCTGGAAGATCATGGTCCTCAGCCCCTTGCCTCGAATCCCGTGCTTCGTGAACCCAGGTTGCCAGTGGAACTTCAAGCTGACGAAGGCATGCCGGATGATGCCAATCTGTCCGAACATGGAGAAGCCGAAGTGGCTCCAGCTGCACCGGGGATCGAGTTGCAAGGACCCATTCCAGAAGAAGTAGAGGTTGAGGGAAGAAGGTTGTCAGCCAATTCTACCGCAGCCGAGTTGAAGTTGGTTTGCAAAGCTTTGGGCATTGGGTCTAGCGGTTCCAAGACGGTGTTGTACAAGAGGATTACAAAACATGTTTGGCGAAGAAGGTTGGAGGATGAGTTGGCCCTTCAAGAAGCAGCATCGTTGCCTGTTCGAACACCAAAACCTGAAGCCGTTCCTCACGAACCGAGCCCTGAAGAGGTGGCCAAGCATCGTTTGACACACATTCCATACAAGTCCTGGTGTCCTCTTTGCGTATCTACCCGAGCGAGAAGGGATGGCCATCGTGAAGGTGGTGAAGCGCATCGCTCTGAAGGCAGTTGGCCAGTGATGAGTTTGGATCTGATGTATAGCTCGGTGGAGGGTGACACTTTGGATTGCATGAGGACTTCTCAGTTGAAACCCAAAGAAGGAAAAATGATGGTCTTGGTTTGTGTGGATCGATCAACTGGAATGCTGCACGGTGTTCCCCTTCCGTCCAAAGAGCAACAGTGTCTTCAGTACGCGGCCAAAGAAGTGCTTTCCTTCTTGTCCTATCTTGGACGAACCGAGGTAGAGATACGAGGAGACAATGAACCATCGATGACAATGCTCATGGACAAGATCGTGACTGCCAGGACCGCTGCAAAGCTTGCTACTAGGAAGTCCCCGTCGCAGCCCCACGAACACCAAACCAATGGGGCAGCTGAACAGGCAATCTTGAGTTTGAGGGACATTGGAAGTACTTTGCTCCAACAAGTTCGCGAGTGTGGGTATGTCTTGAGCAACGAGTCCGATCTTGTGCCCTGGGTGTATACACATGCTGCTACCCTTCACAACCAGTATGCAGTGATGGCGGGAACTACACCGTATGAACGTGCCTTTGGTGTGCAGTATCGGGGGAAACTTGCCATGTGGGGTGAGACCGTGTACTTCAGTCTGTCCGATCCTCATAGACGAAAGGGCAAGGAGAAGTTTGTTAAAGGAATTTTCTTGGGGAAGACGATGCAAAATGATCTCAATATCTGCGGGACCGCCCTGGGAATTTATCTGAGTTCGACAATTCGGCGCCTACCTGAATCACAACAATGGGATCGGATCTTGCTGAAAGAGTTCAAAGGAAAGCCTTGGAGATATGGTCTCGCAGGGATGGGTCTCAAAGTGATCCCAGGTTTGAAAGAACGAGCTCCACAGCCAGCTACGATGCTGGAACCTATGGTGTCGGTCGCCCCGGCTCCATCACCAACGCCACCGCCGCCTGTGGTGACCGAAGGACCCGTGGATGAAGCTGCCTCTGACCCTGAGTCTTCGGCAAGTGCCAGTTCAGATAAGATGACCACCGACAGTGAGAGAAGACCGGAATCCCATGAAGATCGAAAGCGTGAACGAACAGAAAGGGAAGAGGAAGCTCCAGGGTCGAAAGAAGCACGTACATCAGGATCAGCAGTGGAGACAGGAGGGGAAGATGCACCGACAGAGTCTGTTCAAGAGCCTAAGGGTGAAAAGAGGTTGCAGGCTCCACCGTTCTATGCGGGAAGTGAAAGTCCATCGAAGCGTGTTCGAGCAGTCAAAGTAGGAGATGCCGAGTATTATGTGGGAGATGAAGACCTAGATGATTGGTGGAACATGGTAGAGTTTGATGCTCGGTATTTCGAGGAAGATGACTGGATGGACTACAGCCCGGAGAATGACCCCGAAAAGTTGTGGGAAGGCCAAGATGAAAATGAAGGACCTCCTGTTCTTAGCCCTGAACAGCTAGAGGAAGTAGAAGCTGTGTCCAGGAGTGATGAACTGCATCGACTCCTAGAGATGTCCGTGTTGGAAGCAATGGATGAAGCGGTGCATGTTCCCAAAGAGAAGCTCCTCAAGACACGTCATGTGTACGACTGGCGTTTTCGGTCAAACAAGTGGCAACGTCGTGCACGCTTGGTCTGCAAGGAACTCAAAGCATGGTCACCGTTCCGACAGGACACATATGCACCGAGTACATGTCCTTCGATGCTGCGCGTGCTTCCGCATATGTTTGTGAGTACCCCGGACTATGTCTTACGATCGTTTGACGTGAAGGATGCTTTCCTCACTGTAGATCAGAAAGAAGAACTGTTCGTAGAGCTCAACGGGACGATTTACAAGGTACGAAAGTGTTTGCCTGGTCAACAGTTAGCTCCCGTCCATTGGCATGACCAACTGAGTGAGGACTTGGCTCGCTGCGATCTCAAGAGCAACGTGGCGTGCCCCGTGGTATATGGTGGTGAGAAACTTGGTGCCACGATTCATGTAGATGATGGACTTCTTGGTGGATGTGAAGATCGTGTCAACAGTGCTGTGAGTGTCTTGCAACAAAAGTACCGCCTAGAAGTGAGCCCCGTTGTGAAGAACATTGGCGACCAGCTGAAATTCCTCAAAAGGACTCTGGAAGTGGTAGAAGATGGGTTGAAAATCCATATCGACGCAAAGTATATTGAGAAGGTGGTTAGCATCTTGGGCATCACCAATCCCCGTCATCGTAAGGTACCCGCGACTTCTGACTTGACAATGAAAGACGAGTCGGAGTACTTGGACGAGGCACATGTTGGGCGATACAGAGCAGCACTAGGATGTTTGCTGTACATCAGTCCGGAACGACCTGACGTTCAACATTGTGTAGGAGTCCTAGCTCGTGGGATGAGTAAGCCTACGGTGAAGCAGCTCAAGCACCTGAGATACCTGACTGAGTATTTGTATGCCACGAGAGACTATTGTCTTGTGCTGCGCTGGAGTCGGCCTGGGAGATCAGTGATGGAGGAATCCCTACGTACCCAAGGTAGAAGATGTACAAGGAGATGGCGAAGGACGGCCAGCTCGACTGTTGGAAGCCATCAGTGACTCGGACTGGGCATCTAGTGCAGACAGGAAATCGATAAGTTGCGGTCACCTGTATTTGGATGGGAACCTGATGTTTTCTTATTCAAGACGACAGTGCTCCATAAGTCTCTCCTCATGTGAAGCAGAACTCACAGCAGCCACCTCAGTGATTGCCGAATCGCTCTTCTTGAAGAACATCCTCGAAAGTCTGTCTGAACACCCCGTGGATCTGGTTGTGCGATTAGACAACTCAGCGGCTCGCAGCTTGCTGGTGAAATGCGGGGTGTCGAGGATTCGACACCTGGATTGTAGACTTCTTTGGTGTCAAGGGTTGGTGAAAGCCAAGCTCCTCTCAGTGAAACCGGTTGCCGGCTTGCAGAATCCAGCTGATGTAGCTACCAAAGTGTTGTCTTCAGAAAGAATCAAATATTTGTTGGGTTTGGCCGGTATGTACAACAACGATGGCTTGATTCAGTCTTCCAAACCTCCTAATGTCAAAGTTCAAAGAGTGGCATCAACAATGGACATAGAGAACTTGGTGCGATCCGTTGTGTATGCAGCCATAGCCTTGAGCCAGCAGCGACCTGCAGATGCGACCTCTACGAGCCTCGTGGGTGCTGCCGAGATGAGCCCTGAAGGTGGAGAAGAGTTTCCCGAGTTGGTTGGAATGTTGTGGAATCTCCTGGTGTATCGCGTCATGGAGGGCTTGATGGTTACGGATGCAGCAGATGGGACCAGCCTATGGTGGTTGGTGGGAGGAGCAACTTTCCTCTTTCTCTTCATGTTCCTCTTGGGTGTCATGCTCTACTACCTGCCGAGTCTTTGTTGTAGACGTATGACCACGCAATCCTCAGAACGTATGACCACGCAATCCTCAGATCGTATGACAACGCAATCCTCAGATCGTATGACAATGCAATCCCCAGATCGTATGACAACGCAATCCTCAGATCGTATGACCCCGCAATCCTCGAGCAGTCTACCTCCGCAATCCATGAGTTCCCACCAAAAGCAGAAAGGCGTCTGGAAGAATCGAGGTGAACGAGATGCTCAGGCACGTGCAGAACGTGCTCACTTTGTGCGATCGGTTTCGCACAACCCGCATATCTTCGACCCCGAAACGCGACAAGAAGTTGCCGTGTTCTCTCAGAATGGCGAGTGCTACCACAATCGCCCATCCTGCCATGGACTTCGACAGGCAACGAGCAGCTGCCAGCGCGTTCCTCTTCATGATGCTCTGGCAAGAGGACTGGCTCCGTGCAGAGTGTGCTGTGCCAGTCATTGGGATGTGTTCAACGATTGGCTGGTGATGCCAATGCCCGAGTTCCACGACACCAGCGATGTGACAAGTGATGAAAGTGTTCATACATGAGAGGTAGCATCCCTGACCTGTGGCTTGTTTTCCTGTACATTCCATGAGCCCGTGGTAGGAGTAGCTGTCAGTTCATTTCTCCTGCAGAACAAGTCGCTTTTGTGGTGCAAAGTGCATCAGCGCAGTTTAAGTAGAAGCCGAAGCTCTTTTCTCCGTAACGTGCCATGCATCTAGATGAAGAAAGCACCCAAAGATGTGCATGTGTGGCACCTTGTTGTTCAACGTAAGCGACTCTGGGACTAGAACCAAGATCAAGATTCCCCACCAGAAGGGACCCAGAGCAGTTGAGATGTACAGTGTAACTCTATCAACATTTCTTTCGGTGTTTCAAGTGGGTGATGAACATGCAAAGTTGCAAAGCAACAGGAAATCAACGTGATTTTCGGCATGCATCGCAGTCAAGTCTTTTGGGGCGAGACTGAGCATGAGTGTGGAACTCAAGCTGTCTCGAGGAGGGGTGCAAGTATTTCAACTACCCATTTACCCCATATTTTCCATGTAGATTTTGCACTGAAGCTTTACGCTCGATACAAGGCTTTTGGCTCTCGAAGTAAAAGTGCGTGTGTTTTACACCTTTCCTGGGCCTCCAATGCCTGAGCCCGCTGCGCCCACCTCTTGCACTGTTGTACCCTAATCTGCATAACGCAACTGGGGGACTCCGCAGCCACCTGTTCGATGGTACGCTTGAGAGGATCAGAGAGCCCCAAGTCAAGATGACTCGGGTGACCCACCTTGCGCGCCTGTGCACAAAACTCCTGACATGTCCAGGGAACAGATACGTAGACCTCGTGGTCCTCCGACAGGGGGCTGATCAAAACCTCCTGAGATGCGGGCAGCCATTGCGGCCGTCGGCAGAGAGCTGTCGCTGGATGCCATCCCTTGCTGGTCAGCAAGTTCGCTGTCCTGGATTTGAACTGGGCCTTGAATTCAGGGACAAGCCTTTGGGCTGCTGCTCTTTTGGTCCGGTTGCCTGCAGTCAGTGAAGCCATTGAGGGCAGACTGCTCCTTGACTGGACAGTCTGCTGGGGCGCTGGCAACAAACCTTGTTTGAGCAGGGCTCCTATTGCGCACTGGGCAGCCGCCTTGCAGAGTCCGCTTGGGTGCAGAGTCTCCTCAGATCCATGACTGATACCGTGCTCGTCCTTCCATTGCTCGTGCTCGTGTGCCCCGTCACATTCACGGGCAAGCGCATCGAACGCGTCGGTGTTCACTGCCAATGCCATCCGCCTTTTATGTCCAGCGCCGAACATGCATGCATGGCTTTCAAGCACCTTGGTGCATCCCATGCTCAAGACGCCAACCATTTCCTGGCCGAACCACATCCAACTGCGGTACGGGTTTTGTATAACACACATGATGCCCAGGCTGCAGCACAATTGCCATACTGTCGCACTGAAGCCGAAAAGCTGGTTTGCTGCTTGAACCCTACGCAGCTCGTCGTCCTTCAGGGTCGGCACACCTTCCGGGTGCCAGGCATCCCTGAGCGGCGCTGAGTTCTGGGGCCCTGGCAGCTCCCTTGCCCTGGAGCTGGTACCAAGGGGGGGTGTCATCCACACCAGGGCCAAGCCTGGTGATCTTATCCACCTAAGGATCATGCTCTGGCATTGCGGTTTGAGCATGTCGAGTCGAAGTACTTTCGCCTTGCGGTCGTGCCGCAGAGAGGATTCTACGCCGAAGCTCTTTGTAAGACCAGCTGCCACCATAGCGGCGGTAATCCCAGCTGAGCCCGCGAACAGCTCCAGGCACCAAAACTCCTGCATGTGCTTCGCGCCCGACGACAGGCCCCCACACTGCAAGTGTGTCGCATCGCTGGCTGGTTGCTGATCAGCGGACAAGTTGTCTGGCGTTGCCAAACTATCCACCGCAGAACCGTTGATTTGAACTAAAGAGCTCTCCTCAATGGGAGCTGAAAATTGCTTGGGAGAAAAACTGTTCATGACACCCTCGTGTAAGCTCCAGTCGGGTGCCTCCTCAGCACTTGAGTTGGCCGAAGTGTGACACATTGAGTCGAAAATCGCAGGTTTGTCTGAATCAAAATCTGCAGCTTTGTCTGAGGCGCTGACAACCGGCAAGGCTCTCTCACCCCACTGCTGTGCCTTGGTCGGGAAGCTGCCATCGCTCTCCGACGCCGAAGCGTCATCATCCGCGACAGCAGGAGGCATGATCGCCCCTCAGGCCTTCTTGCCTGGGTGGTCAATGAATGCATGCTTGCCGAAGCAATTGGGTCGGCAGCACACGTGCCAGCCCTTAGCGCATTTGCCTCCCAACGGAGCGTCCTGGCATTCACCGAGGTTGGCGCCGAAGCAGATAGGCTCGCCTTGGGGTGTAACGGCCACACCACCTCTCAGCTTGAAAGGCATAGGTGTCTGCGACCCTTTGCCTTCCCGCGTCCACTGGTTCCAGCGACGACCCTCCTTAGAACCCCACGGGTCCTTGCCCCCGCCATGATTCTTGCCACCCTTCTCTTTTCCTTTCCTTCCTTTTCCCCAGAACTCGGATCGGGCAAGTTTCTGCGGCTGACCAGCCTTGCCGTCCCATGGAAGCTGCCGCTTCCAGCCACCGAAACCCTTGCCTTTGCCTTTTCCAGGAAAGATCGCCTCCGCATTCGCTGGCAGAGGCAGGAGCGGGAAGCTAACTTCCGCTGCCTCCATGGCCTTTGTGAAGGCATCGTCCAGGCATCGAGGAGTCGCCAAGTCCGCGTTTGGTGCTGCCCGTTCGAGTTTGATGCTCGCCTGGGCGAGTACCAGCCAGAGAGCCTTGTCTGCCCTAAGGACCTGCGCAAGGGAGACTGGGGCGTAACCTGGTATCGCCGGGTCTTGCAGCCGGCTGAATGCCTTCTGCAACCACTTCTCGTGGACCTTGTAGCTGAGGATACCTACCAAATCGAAGGCTAAGCCACGCCTCTGCATGGCGCGGTAGGTTGCCATTTCCGTGCCCAGTTTTGCTTGCGCCGAGGAAGCCTTCTCCGTAATGGTGAGGCTGGCTCCTGAAGTATCAAGCGCCAGCTCCTTAGTCCCTTTCGTTTGGGACAGTTCCTGCTGACGAGTCGGAATCTTCGATGGGTGCAGGTACTTGATGGAGCTGTGCTCAACCATCGTTGCTATGACATCGTACACGGAGTGAGCCGGCTCTAGGTCGTTCTTGATCTCAATGCCCGCCAGCCTGGTCGCCTGACACGTCATCCTTTGATGGCGCTCAGCTCCAGGCATATGCCGAGCGATCGATTCCGGTTTTTGTTCTACAACCGACTTCAAATGAGACAAGGCCATGGTCTGCGATTCGAAGAGGAGCCGCTTCGCCTGGGTCACCAACGCCAGAGTCGGGTTGGCAGCACCTATTTGTGTCAAGAGGGCTTCAACCGATGCATCTGTCAACGGTTGTCCTGGCGGAGACGCTGCATAAGCTGCCTGGCTGACCGTCTTGATCCCTTGTGCGACTAGCTTGTTTATCACGTCCTCAGCCATACCTACTCTGGCCGCATGTTCCTTGAAGAAAGCCTCCGAGTCTGCTGCGCTAGCCATTGCTCGACAGACACTATTTCTGACCTCGGGCCCGGGCAAGAGCTCGGAGAGGCGACGCTGAAGCTTCTCAGACACTGATGCCTATCCCTCTGTCACTCCTTGTTTTACCGATCATGCCTGTGCAAAACATCGCTTACACAAAACTGAACCTTCAAGAGTATGGGATACTCGAGAAAAGTTCTCTGTCACAACCGGACCACACTTCAGAGACACCGCACCTGGCCTGTGCAGGTGCACTACTGTCGATTTGACATTTCGCAGTGCCTCAAAGCCGTCGGGGAGGGCTTGGTCGCACGTCTCCTCTTCCATGGACGTGGAGCTCGCAGTGTCTGAGTCAGAGCTGGAGACGGGGGATAAGACGTCAGTTGCCACGAGGCCGGCCCCCGAGCAAACCGTATCTCTCTCGTCTTCTGGTGCTTCTGTAATTCCAGGCTGCTGAGCTGTCCCGTTGGCCACATCCACCTCTACAGCCGCCTCTGGGCTGTGGTCTCGGATGTCACCTTCCGTTGTGGGCTCCACTCTTTTCGGTCCGAAGCTGCACTTTGTCCCTTCCATGAGAAGCCATCGCTTCCGGAAGTTGGTGCCAAACAGGGAAGTCCCTGTTGGACTTGCTCCATGCTGCTCCTCCCCCTCGACACTGGCCTGCTCCATGCGGTCGGGGCCTTCCCATGTTGTTGGCATCGGACGGGCCAGAGTTGGTGACTCACTGACCATGCTCCAGGACGGAGCTGCCTCGCTAACATTCTCCCTGACAAAATAGCCACTCCTGGTAGCGTCAGGAAGAAATGACCCTTCACGTATCTGTTGGAGCATCTGTTCTAATTGGCGAATTGGTCCACTCAGCGCATCCCGAGAGTAAGCTAGGTCGCTCATGGGCCCTGTGCTATGGTGCGCTAGCAAAGTCTGCGTCTCACCGTGGATCCCAAACCTACTGAGCCAGCCCAGCACCGTGTGCTTGAGACAGTGCGACGTGGTGCGCTGTCGGGTGGGATCGCTCCTCAAGAGCAGTCCATGCAGCCAGTCCGACGCCTCAGCTGTGTCTATGTGTCGTTTGAGGAAGGATCCCTCTGGTCCCGGTGCCGGGAGCAGTGCCCCAAGCGGTCGCTTTGTCAGATCAATGCCTGCTAACTGAGCAGCATGACGCCACTCAAGCGCCCAAGAGAAGTCGGGGCTGACTCCCTGAATAGGTGCCACCAATGGCATGAACAGCGCCTTCTTTTTCTTCGCTTGGCTGCTCTGTTTGACATGGCGTGCCCTGGCTTCTACGTAGCCGACAGGTCGTCCAGCAACTTCTGTGACATCAAAGGAAAGGCTGTCAATGCACGCTACATCGCTCCAGCGGTTCCTTGCGAACAGTTGGAAGCACATGACCCCTGCAGCAAATCTGTCGATCGGGTCGGCATCCTGTGCACGTATGGCCTCTTCCACCTGTCGCACTTCACTAACCGTCAAATCACGGGCCTGGTTTTGAGGCAAGTGCTCACCTGCAGAACGGTCTGCTGCACCCACCACTCGTGGTGACAAAACCGCCTCCAAGTTGTGACATCTTAGAACATGCTGGGCTAGGCGCAAAGCTTGGACCGTCCCGAGAGCTGCCAGCTTCCCTGTTGACCTGCAGGTCAGCTCCTTCAGGAAGGCGTAAAGAATCGGCTCCGGAGGCATGAGCGGTTCATGACTGTCTACTCCTGGTCTCAGCCACTTCATGAATCTGATAAGAGATGTGGCTCGTTTCAGTGCAGTATGGGGTGACTTAACACCAAATACATCTCTGATAGATGAGAGAGCTTCCTCCTCATCCATGCTGCACACACTTTGGACAAACTTACCGGCTGAGGGTGACGCTAGCATGAGCGTCAGCCAGAGTTTGACAGCTCGGCCCCAGACGTATTCACACTTCTCGTCGAAGTCTCTGTCGGGCTTGCGCCTGACTGCCTGCAAGAAAATGGCCTTGTCAGGTGTGACTACTCGGCACTGGCGCTTCACCGACTGTTGCGCCGAGATCTCCCTCAGTTGAAGTTCAGCTTGACCATACATGGTGGGGGTGGGCAGGTCATCGCTTATGATCGACGGCCTGGCAAAAATCTCTTGGAAAACTCCCGACTCCCAGGGCAGTCTGATGACGGGCAAAGTTGCCTGTTCCTCTATAACATGCTCACTCACCCCGTCTTGTGTAGCCTGCACAGGTAGGGCCGGCGCAATCGCCTCATCGGAGTCGCTTTCCGACGGGACATCTAGGGCTCTCATGCTGCAAGCCAACTCAAGAGACACAATTATGCAAGCCGCATGAGCTGAACCTGCACTGGGTCTGGAGATCTGCAACTGTCGGAGGGGTGGGGAGGTGACAACAAGGGCTGACTCCAATCCCTTATTTTCCAGACATCTGTGCACCTCGCTTCAAAACTGTTCGGCAGCCAGATCTTGTCATGGCTGGAAACACACCCCTCGTTGGCGCCCAAGTTCTGGGGCTCTGCATCTAGGCCGGCCACGTGCAGCCGATGGCGCGCAAAATGGCGTGCTTGGGATGGAGGATGATGTGTTGTCCGCTGCGCGCGGAGCCCACGTCTTTGACGGCTGCCATCATGACCGCCACCCCACCTTCGGTTGTGTGGGTGGGCTTCTCCAGCTCGCCCTGGTACACGAAAATGACGCCCTGTTGGCCTTTGGAATGGGCGGCCGTTTTTTGAAAGGCCGCCTCGATGGTGGCAGGATCTGGCGCCTCCAGCGTCCCCCTTCCACTGAACCCAAAACTTGGGTAGTCGTCCGGCTTGGAATCATTCGGGCACACCTCTCCGTGAAGCCCGATGCCCACCGCGTGGACAAAGCCGGTGCCGTGGGCCATGACCAGGTCATGCCGATGATCTTCACACTTGGCATAACTGGGGCCGGTGATCATGGTCGACACGATGATCCCTTCTGCTCCCGGCATGCGGGTGCGCATGGCACGCAGTTTGCCGTCCTCGCCCATGGGGGATCTTCCTCCATCCAAGAAGGCTGCGAGCACTGCTGCAAGCCTGTGGAAGGTCTGGTCGGGCATGGAGATGGCGACCTCGTTCAGGGCCTTTTTGCAGGCTTCCACTGAGTCTGCCGAGATCTCTCCGCGCGCCTGGGTCCAGGTCATGCTCCAAAAGTCTTTGAGCCGCCCCATCTGGACCAATTCCCTGGCACTCGGGGGACGATCCGCCGAGAGGTGCGCCCGCTCGATGGCGTCCTTCCAAACTGATGCCGAGTAGGCTTGGTCTTCCCTTTCAACGTCCCGCTGGGCCTGGCGGGCCAGGTCCTCCTCCGTGGCCTCTTCTGCATCCGGCAGGTCCAAGGGGTCGGTCGAGGACCGCCCAAAAGTCAGGGGAATCCCAGGCGTTGCCGCCTGCCCTTCTCCCGGGGCTTTCTCATCGCGCTCCCATTTGTTCCACCCCTTTGGCCACTTCTCCTTATCTCCGCCCCGCCGGTCATAACCCTACACTGGAACAGCCCGTAAATCCTTGGGCACTAAAGCTTCACAGGCTCTATAAACCCCAAGTCCTAACCCTAAGCTTCATACCCTGAGCTCACAGAAGGCTGCACTGCTGCACACCAGCAATGGCAACGGCCGATCTTCTCCCTACCTGAGCCGAGGACCGTTCGCAAAAAGTGTGTGCCCTCGTGCTTAGGTAAGTGAACCGGTAGGAGTGAAACCTGCTTAGCAAGCTTGCTTGTGTAGGGTTTCACGTAGTTCGAGGTTCGCCTGAAGCTCTGGCCCAAGCGTGGGCTGTACATTTTTGGTGTTTCCCGCCCACCCGCCTCCGAGCCCCAAGGAGCAAAGACTTTGCAGTGCCCTGCGTGCACGAAAACCCCACAATAGATTACCAAAAACCAGACCCGGAAACGAAAATCGTAAAAGTTGGACCCTGTAAAGAACCAATAATAAGTGTTTTAAACGGGTCCAACTTTGCGATTTTCGGCTTCCGAGTCTGTTTTTTGGCAATCTACGCAACTGTGGCTTTCTCGCAGGTTTCGCTTTGCTTCCCGCCTCACCCAAATTCTGCGGCTGCATCACATCCAGTACGGCCTACCTGGTTTCTTTGCACATCCCACTAAGCAAAGTCTTAACAGCTTTTGGTTTAAGATGTATTGCCATCGAAATCCCACAGAGCCAGAGCCCTCTGCTCTCAAAGTGATAACTTCCTTCCCTTACAGGCATGAGACAGACGAAGTAATTCAGTACGAGCAAATAGATGCGGCCGCTAGAACGCTGTGGCACTCTGCCAAAGCACGAGTGCCCAATTGTCGTCTGTGCCAATTCCCAAAGGCATCCCTCCTTGCGGAACGTAAGCGGAGAATTTGCTGGAGCATGTGGGAAGCACGTCACAGGATCCTGACAGGGACCTTACACAGTCGGCCGCGGCGGCGGTCCCAGCAGGGGTTGTGGCGGAACCACGCTTGCGAGTGGGGGCCGAGACATCTGGACAAGCCCGACAGGCGGATAGCGGCTGGGAAGGCCCCTGGCAATGATAGGACAATTGGGGCATCCGCCCCCCGAGCTTGCTACTGCAAGACCGAAAACATTCGAAGCAAAATGAGCTGTAAGAGCGATGGAATCGGTAGCCTCTTGGCTACTCTCGGTAGCCCCACTGGCATGGGGTAGGAGGATTCAGTGGGGTGAACACCTGTCGAATTAGAACTTCGAGCAGATCCTTCACTGACTGGTCACGGTGCATACTTCCACGTTGCACTGTGCTGGTTTCCTGCCTTGATCGACACTGCCTGGTGAGCTGGGTTGGAATTATCCTCAACCTGAATGGGGTGCAGCCGCCACGTTTGCTTCTCCTCAACCTGAACGGGGGTCTTAATCCTCTGCTCATCCTCAACCTGAATGGGGCGCAGCCGCTACACTTGCTGATCCTCAATCTGAATGGGGCCCAGGTGCTTATCCTCAACCTGAATGCTTCTTGTCCTCAACCTGAATGGGGCGCAGCCGCCACGTTTGCCTATTCCCATCGCCTCAATTACTTACCAATCCTCAACCTGAATGGGTGCCAGGTCCTTATCCTCAACCTGAATGGGGTGCAGCCGCCACGCTTGCTTATCCTCAACCTGAAAAGGGCCGGGTGCTTGTCCTCAACCTGAATGGGGTGCAGCCGCCACGCTTGCTTATCCTCAACCTGAATGGGGCGCAGCCGCCACGCTTGCTTATCCTCAACCTGAATGGGGCGCAGCCGCCGCGCTGGCTTATCCTCAACCTGAATGGGGCCAGGTGCTTAATCCTCAACCTGAATGGGGTGCAGCCACCACGCTTGCTTAGCCTCAACCTGAATGGGGGCTTGCTTATCCTCAACCTGAATGGGGCCAGGTGCTTAATCCTCAACCTGAATGGGGTGCAGCCGCCACGCTTGCTTATCCTCAACCTGAATGGGGGCCAGGTGCTTGTCCGGGCGCAGCCGCCACGATTGCTTATCCTCAACCTGAATGGGGCCCAGGTGCTTATCCTCAACCTGAACGGGGCGCAGCCGCCACGTTTGCTTATCCTCAACCTGAAGGGGGGCCAGGTGCTTATCCTCAACCTGAATGGGAGCCAGGTGCTGATCCTCAACCTGAATGGGGCGCAGCCGCCACGATTGCTTATCCTCAACGTGAATGGGGCCAGGTGCTTAATCCTCAACCTGAATGGGGTGCAGCCACCACGCTTGCTTATCCTCAACCTGAATGGGGGCCAGGTGATTGTCCTCAACCTGAATGGGGCGCAGCCGCCACGATTGCTTATCCTCAACCTGAATGGGCCCAGGTGCTTATCCTCAACCTGAATGGGGCGCAGCCGCCACGCTTGCTTATCCTCAACCTGAATGGGGGCCATGGGGGCCAGGTGCTTGTCCTCAACCTGAATGGGGCGCAGCCGCCGCGATTGCTTATCCTCAACCTGAATGGGGCCCAGGTGCTTATCCTCAACCTGAACGGGGTGCAACCGCCACGTTTGCTTATCCCAGCCACCACGTTTCCAGGTGCTTGTCCTTAACCTGAATGGGGCGCAGCCGCCACGATTGCTTATCCTCAACCTGAATGGGGCCCAGGTGCTTATCCTCAACCTGCACGGCGTGCAGCCGCCACGTTTGCTTATCCCAGCCACCATGTTTGCTTATCCTCAACCTGCGTGAGGCACAGGCGCTTAACCTCAGCCTGAATGGGGTGCAGCCGCCACGTTTTCCCAACGCCCACCCCCCCCCCCCCCCCCCCCCCCCCCCCCCCAACCCCCGCACCCCCGCCCAATTCCGCTCAGGTAGGAGGGCTAGATGCTTCTCATAGACCTGACCGAATACAGCCGCCACGTTTGCACGTTTGCGCACCTGACGCCGCCCCCCCCCCCCCTGCCAGTTCCGCTCGGTCAGATCCCCAACCTGAGCAACTGGGGTGCAGCTGCCACGTTTTGTTATCCTCAACCTGCATGCGGGCCATGGGCTGTTGTCTGCGTTTTAGGTTGCGTAGTCGTTTTTCATGGCAGAGCAAGGGCGAGCATTCAGCATGTTTCTTCTCCCGCCGACATAGAACACCAAGCGAAGCATAGCACGATGCACATGTTCGCGTAAGGATCACTGATGACCATATACAGAATCAACAGCAACTCATCCTGCTTACGAGAGAACGCATGATTGAATTACAACGGTCCTACTTTTGGTACACGGTGCTTTAGGCAGATGACGTCGTTGATCACAGAATGGGAAGGCGCTGAAGTGTACTGGCCGGGTCGCCTTTGCACCAAAGTCGACTTTGCCATGTTTGAGGATGCGGCTTAGGGCTTGCCTCCGGAAAATTGGGTCAAAGGCCGCGTGCGGCCCGCGCTGGGAAATCGCATTGATTTGGGCCCATACATCTTGCAACAGCCTGGGAATGCTGATGACGATGATTGGGTCTTTGTTGGCAAACTTGATCAAGCGATGTGGGCAATGCGCATCAACTCTTGCGCAGGCAGAAACCCATATGTGCTAGTTTTGAGGAAAATGCAGCCAGGAGATTTGGTGCGGACCTGCGATCTCGAGCCAGACTGCACGGCCTCGGGTGAGGTGATCGCCGAGGATCACAAGTTTGAAGACAGGCCGGCAACCGCGGAAGATGTGTTGGGGCCCCCAACGAAGCGACTTCGCAAGAAAACGGACCCTGCCAATGTGAAGTTGCGTCGCGAGCTGTCGCATTCAGCCTCGCGTGAACCTATCCTCATTGCCAAGAGCCGTCGTGCGAGAAGGGTTTCGCGTGAAACAGGATGGACCACTCCACTTTAACATGAGTTGCATGGCTCGCCCGGTTTCACCTGTAGCACAGCGACGGGCACCAGCCGGGAGCCTGAACAAAAAGAACCAGCTACATCTTGTTTTGCTTATCCTGCACCTGCGCGGGCGCCAGGTGCTTATCCTCAACAAGAACAGGGTGCAGCCGCCACGTTTGTTTATCCCAGCCACCACGTTTGCTTATCCTCTGCTTATCCTCAAGAAGAACAGAGTGCAGCCGCCACGTTTGCTTCTCCCAGCCACGTTTGCTTGTCCTCAACCTGAATGGGAGGGCACCTGTGTGGGCGGCAGATGCCTATCCTCAACCTGAATGGGGTGCAGCCGCCACGTTTACGGTTCGCAGCGCCACGTCTGCTTATCCACCTGTGTGGGTGCCACGTACCTATCCTAAAGCGGAATCGGGCGCAGCTTGCGGATCCCAGCGCCGCGTCTGCTTGTCTACCTGTGTGGGCGGCAGGTGCTTATCCTCAACCTGAATGGGGTGCAGCCGCCACGCTTACGGATCCCAGCGCCACGTCTGCTTGTCCACCTGTGTGGGTGCCAGGTACCTATCCTCAACCTGTCAAAACACAGCAGAGCGCACAGCGGTCCTCCTTTTACTCACAGCCTTGAGCCAAAGTCCGGTCGGCCGGAGGACTTCAAAGTTCTTCTGTGTCTCCAAAGCACTGCAAAACACACTCGCCGTGAAACTGCAAAAGTACACAACTCAAGCGGTGCACTTCCCAAGTTCTCCTACCAACTCAGGGTTCTCCAAACCCTTCAAACGGAGTGTCAAAACGCCAAAGCTCTTCTTCAAACACTTCAAAGCAAAGGCAAAACGACGAAGGAGTTTCTCAGGTTCGCTTCCCATCAAAGCAAAGAAAAACTACAACTTCTCACACAAACTCTACTCCATCCTACACAATTCCAACCAAGCGAGCGTCAGCAAAAGCATGCACCAAACTGCAGGACAACCTAAAAGGCATGGCTTTTCTTTCCGAGCGGGCAAACCGGTCGCAGCTCCAAGGCTAAGTGAAAAGGAAAAACTACCAGGACACCACCGATCTGCAGCAGAGACAGGCATGGCTTTTCTCACCAAGCGTGCGGGGCGTGAGCGAAGCTCAGTCAACATGTCAATCTAATTAGCATGCAGGTTGGTGTGAAACGCCCTAGTCACTGAAAAGCCCATCACCCTACCCAGAGGCAGGGACTACCTCCTACCTCCTCTACCCTACAGGTCTCCCAAACTCACCATCCCTGGCCTTCGAGCCGGGCCCATGCTTGTTTCAGCCGGGTAGCTCTTAGACCCTGACCTGCTGGCCGGGAGCGAGTGGCTTGTAGCCCGAGCCCTTAGGCTGGGAGGAGGTCTGGGTAGGTCACGAAGAGTTCCTCGCCTTTGGATCTGTAGATGTCAGATCTAGCAAGGCACTCCGCCTTCAAGGCCTCTGGATCCGGCCAGTGCTGGAGATACAGGCGAGAATGGGCATAGAAATTGCGCTTCAACTCCCTCTCCAACAGTTTCCAGACATTGTCCAGATTCAGCTTGACAGGGGCTTGTATTGGTTCCCACATCGCCATGTCGAAAAAGCAAATCGACGGACTGAGAGATCACGAACACCGAGATTGCCCTTGGTCGCACGTGATTGCATAACACAGTGGCGATCGCCCTGGGGCGGAGGATCAGTGGATGTCATACTGGATCTTCATGGTGATGAGGCGGTGGACCCTCTTCTCAATGTGATCCTGCAGCAAGCAGATGCCCTCATGCGTTGTGCCTTTCAGGCTGATGAGCATGGGCGCGCCTTGCTTTTCCAGGCATGGAAGCCCTTGTGGAGACGACAACAAGAGACCCGCCATGGCTGGCAAAAATTGGCAGAGCCGGTCTCGGCGATGATCCACTGGACTTGGGAAGGTACCACGTTGCATGGGGTTAGGACTTTCCTCACACAGGCCGGGCGGCCGAAGGAGTGGACTGGACGGTGGCGCGGAAGCTCCTGAGAAGCCCCAAGCTTGTGGCACGTAAGACGTCATATCGTATGGTGTTTCAGGGCCTCCATTTGCATGAAGGAAACCAAGGGCTGCGTTTCTGCCAATGGTGTGGTCAGCAAAACACGCCCCACCATCTTTTGTATGAATGTAAGCGCATTCCAGGCGCCCAGCCAATGCCGAAGTGGGTCTTGGATTACAAGAAGAAAATCCCGGAAACCTGCTTATGGCTGCGAGGGATGCTCCCCAAAAATATATGCGCCACACAGAAGAGTACCCGATTCACAGGAAGGGGATTTTCTTGGAGCAGAGCCCTAAATGGGACCAGTACGTCTATGGTACTGACGCATCAGGAGGACGCTATACCCGTGACCCGAGATTGCGAAACGTGGTGGCGGCAAAGCAAACTCCGACCGGCCTGGAAAAAGCTGGGGTCTTATCGGGCGTGCTGCCTCAATCCACTGTATCGGCGGGGGAATCTGAAGCTCTGATACAGCTGCTTAAATGCTTGGATGTGCAAGTGGATGTCACTTCAGACACCAAGGTAGCTTTGCGCCAGCTGCGCAGCTGGAATTTCGGGGTTCAGACCTACCTATCCTGGAGCCAAGTCTGGGAGAAATGACATCTCCTGGCGGCGACGTGGGTCAGGTCGCATCGCAATGAACAAGCCTTTCTGGAAGAGTTTGGTCAGGCGAGCCTCTGGCGCAGGCAGCGCGGACCGAATTGTTGCCCAGGTCATTCACCACCTGGCGCAGCGCGTTGAAGCGGCCCTGGAACATACGGACAAGGATTTGATTAAAAAGACCATTGCCAAAAACAGACAACAGGCGGCTCAGGAAAGGAAAAATGCGGCTGGCCCGAGCAAGACGGAACGTATGCGCAGCAAGGCGGTGTCGCCGCAAGCGATCGAAGGACATGTGTGGGTGGTGAAGGAACATAAGACGAACTTCACGATGAAGTGCAACATTTGTGGCCTTTACGTTGAATCATGCAAGGTGGGGAAGCCCTTTGAGCGGCTCATGCGCCAGCCTTGCATTGGTTGTGAAGGCGGACCCCCCAGTGGTCTGACCTTGCCCCCTCCCATACCCTAATCAATAAAGGGTGTAGTTGGGAGTGTTCGGCTTGTGGAGCATGGGCGAGACCGGCTCAGATGACACTTCCAGCCAGATTAATCAGACCTTGTGTGGGACACCCAAAAACCACCAAAAGAACTGGTCAAGTAGCAGAACCTAAAGCCCCCCCTGGTCAGAATTTCAACCCAAAAGGCGTAGGGACCATTTGGCAAGCCTTCCGTCCTTTGGCCCCCCAACCTGAAACCCCGGAGACACTCTTCCAGGCTTTGTCGGCATCCCGGCCGCCGGGCCAGGGAGATCTCCGATCTATGTTTGGGGTCCCTTCCTGGTCAGAGGACGCGGGTTCGCAAAAATCAATTGATCCTGGTCCTGGTATGGCTGAACCCAGGCCAAAAAATCAAGGGGAAGAACCACCCGTTCTTCACTCTAACCAAAGCAGCGGGGCATGCACCTAAACCTCTGGTCCAGACAAAGAGCCTCGCACCAGCTGAAGCCGGCCAAGCCCCTAGGCCCCCCCCAAGGAAAGCTTCAGAGGGGACATCTCTTGTGCCTCTCAGTTCCTTTTGCAAGCCGAAGGGACCGTAAGGGTACTTGTGTCTGTTAGGGAGTGTTTGCGCTGCAGGTTTCTTTGCTTGAGCCACCATGGGAAGCGTATGTGCCAAACGACGCCCGTGCAATGTACCGTGCCAGGCGTGTGGAGCGGCTGCGTGCGGGCGCACCAAAAGCCCGCACGGGAACCACTGGTGTGATGCTTGCATCGTCTGGCGGTGGAACCAGCAGGACGAGCGAAAGTCCTACTGAAGGCGAGTGAGCAGAGGGGAAGAGGCGCAAAAGGCGCAAGGGCCGCCAATTGAGCACGCGGCACAAAGTGACGACTAGCTGGTCGGCCGATGCCTCGAGTAAAGGACCTGGGTTCAATTCTGATGAGCAAGAGCCAAGGGGAAGTTCAAACTTGAACCCGGCCTCTAGGCCAGGGATTGAGCAAGAGCCATTGGGAGTTTCCAATGCGAGCCCGGCCTCAAGGCCAAGGGAATGGGGACTCCCACGTTTCATTGGGTCCTTCTGCTAGTCAGCACCCAGCCCGAAGGCTCGGGGAGCAAACGCCTCCGGGGGCGGGTGAGGATGTGCCCTCCCAGGAGCCCCATGCAGGCCACCAAGAAAGCCAGCCACTTAACGTCGTGGGGGCCGATATCCCGTATGAGCCCCACAGTCGGGGGATGGTGATTCTTGCCCCTCCAAAGGTGGAGCCTGTTGAGCCAGAGGAAAGCTCTTCCAGTTCCAGCTCTAGCTCCAAGGCAGTGGCGAGGCTAAAGCAAAAGAAGTGCAATATCTGGCCCAAATTCAAAGAGAAGCAGAAGGCAAAGACTGGTGGTCTTCGGCAAAGATCACCAGGAGCAAGACTAGGCCAAACAGGGAGCAGAGGAAAGCTGCCCGACAGGACTGGAGTAGATGGGACACAGGCTATGTGCGCAAGAACTCCAGGCCTGGGTCAGAGGAGCAACCCTCTAGCTCCTCCCGTTCAGAGAGACAAGCAAGTTCCGCGCCATGGGCGCAGGTTCGGGGTCGTGGTCCAAAACCACGCAGCCCCCCCTGCAAGGCGCGGTAAGTCTCTGGAACCAATGGCGCAGTCGGAGCCCGAAAGTGAGCACCCCCCGCTGGTTCTCAAGGAGAGGGAGCAGGTTAAAGTTGAACAGCAGGAAGCCCAGAAAGCCCAGGAAGCCTTGCGGGAGAGAGCTGCTGCATTCGTGGCAGAAGCCAATGAGGAGATTGAGGTGAGCTCTGAGGATAACGATTGGACCCAGGTAGGTACCTTGCCGCGTACGGGACCGAGGGTTCTGAGTCGTGCAGAAGCGGACATCCCCCATGTTGGGGGGATTAGCCAGGGCAAACCGCAAGCGCGCCTGGCCTCACCATTTCCTCCCTCCACAGGTGACTCTCTACCGAAACTCCAATGGGGTGATCATGCCTGAGCCCCTTGTCATGTCTAGCCTCGGAAAAGGCCAAACCCGGATCACCTTCCTGGCTGGGGAGGTTCGGTCACAGTATTTGGCCGCAGCTGGTGCTAGCTTTAATGCGATAAAGCAATGTAAGATTTGTTTTACAAATTCCTACATTCCAAGTAGCAAGGAACTAGCTCAAGACCGAAGCGCACTTCTTCTTTCACTGCCGGAATGCAGATCCACTTCGAGCAACTCAGAATCGACTCAGTCGACTCAATGTAGAAACAATGGTTCGGCGTATATTTCCCCCGACAGGGGCTCAGCCCTCTGTCACTGCCGAAACGTGGAGCATTTTGATCTCCACGAAAGAAAGGAAATGAATCAAGCTGCAGCCTCCATGAGGACTGGAAAAAGGATGCCTGGAGGAGGGAGAATCGCAACTCCCGCCTAAGTACAAGCCCAATGTACAAACAAAAGGGTCGTGGAGGGTGGGTGAAAACGAAAGGTCCCAAGGGACCACGGTTGCAGCTGCGAGCCTGCGTGCTACATGTTCAACCAATGTAGCATGCGTGCAAAACGTGTGACCAAACATACGTGAGCAAGCACACAAACCGACTACGTGCTGAAATTCACCACGGAGCGACAAGAGCACGGGCGGGAGCCTGAGCTTTCCGAAAGGTTCGGAGCGCTCGCTGCCCGCGTCTTGGTGGCAAAGAGACATCACCGTGCATCTGACTTTCGGAGATGGATCCTTGGAGCAGATCGTAATGCCGTGCCTCTTCCAGCAACGAGTTTTCCTCATGAAAGATTGGATGCGCCGCTGGCAGCACCGCTTACAGGGCCCCACCAAATCTGCTCTTGGGTTTTACATCCTGGAGCTGTTTGGAGAGCGCGCCGCGCAGTGTTTTTATGCGTTTGGGCGCTATGCCCTGCGCCTTATGACCATGCAAAGCCACTGCAAAAGGGCTTGCCCGAAGTATTTCGACCCTGGCCCTAGAACGGTCGGGACCCGAAGCTGCTTGGTGGCTTGGCTCATGCCACATCTAAAGCGCTTTAAGGCCGTAAGCAGGCGTCTTCTACGTCCACCCGCCGAATCAATGCCCAAGTTCTTCGCCAAGGGTTTGGTGTCCGGGTCTTGTTCCGTGCGCGCTTTTTTCAGTTCAGCTACAACTTTAGAGCGCCTGCTGCAATGGCAGCATTACGGTGCACTGCATATCCAGGAAGATATCATCCAACCAAACATTGACATTTGTCACTTCTTGACCTTGGACTATCTGTTCCAACGGTGGCCAGTGCAAGCTTCGCCAATGTGGGCGCCAACGGGCATCCCTGCAAGAGACCTCTTGCAGGGTAAATCGGCATGGACAGGAACAATTCCCCATTCAGGCAGCGCGGTCCCCTGTAGATGTCCAACAGGGGACCGCGCTGCCTGGTCCTGTCCATGCCGATAAACCCGGCAAGTGGTCTCTTGCAGGGATGCCCGTTGGCGCCCACATTGGCAAAGCTTGCACTGGCCATGCCGTTGGAACAGATAGTCCAAGGTTAAGGAGTGAAAAATGTCAATGTTTGGTTGGATAATATCTCCATGGATGCAGTGCGCCGTGATGCTGCCATTGCAGCAGGCGCTGCCCTTCAGTTCTCCCACTTACTTAGGCATGGCTTTTCACACCCCTCTTGGACTGCAGTGTCTAAGCTCAGAACGTGAAGGTCAACAGTTAAGACCCGAGCACCACTTTCTTTGCTGCTTTTAGCAAAGCTCTGCCAAGCTTTGAAGGAAAGTAACCTGTGGCTTCTAGGCTCTCCGGCTCTTTGTAAACATGCATTCCATCACAAGGCTTTCCAGAGAACGTGTCACACCATACTTCTCTGTTAGTGCAAAACCACCACGTCTTTCGAACTCCATCAAACGCCCGGTCAATACGGCGTCCAGAATCCAGTTTCAGACGTTCGCAAATGACTCTTCAAGGAGCTACCTTGGCGCTTTTTGGCTGTGCGCATCTTTGGCCGATCACCAGCGTCAGTTGGTTGTTGCTACTTGCGGAAGACTGTGCACCTTAAGGTTGCTCTGCTTTTAAATAATAAGCAGCATACAAGCTTGGTGAACCAACTGACCGGGGCATCCACCCCTCTGTGAGACGCACTTCTGCATATGCCTAAGAAGAGGGTACATGTGGCCCTTGGGGTGCCTGTGGCCCCTGTGGACTTGATCCGTCAGCCACATTGGTTACCTGGCTTCCTTCTCAATCTGGTGCTGGTACTGGTCGTTGGACTAGTGGTTGAGGAATATTGGCACAGGTTATGGGCCCAGCTTACACACCTAACAACACTCCCGGTTCTCCAGGGGCAACACGAGGCTCAAGTGCAAACAATCCTTTGGAGGGTCCTAAGCATGATAATCCGTCCGTGCGTGACTCCAATCAACTCTGGCTCGACAGAGACCAAACGTATGAAAAGCCATGGTCGCCGCATTTGCTGGCCGGAATTCTGGACACTCAACCCACAGTCCCGGTTGATGGCCAGAAGGACGCCCGCACTTCTGCGCTATGGCCAGCGGACAAGCTACACATGTCACCGGAATCGGTGAGTCGCGAGACCGACCCGAGGAACCGAGCGATGGCCTTTGCCCTCGCTGCTGGTCCGGCCTTTCTGTCCAGCCTATGCAACACTTATTGGGGGACAGATGGGCACTTGGCCGCGCTCCTCGCCACCTGCGCCTATGGACTGGGAGCAAATCGCTCCTCCGTCTTCATCACTGGAGCCCCTGGCAGTGGGAAAACACGTTCGTGCGCTTTCATGGGAGTCCTGGTCGCTAGTCTTGCCAGCAAACTCACCCTCTACACGGCCCATGGCAATGAGTCGGTGAGCATACATAGAAGCCGCGGACCGGCTGACTGCGGGGAGCAACAGCTTCATCCGAAGTCGTATTGTAAGAGTACCAGCCAGCCGTGAGAAGCACACACATAAACTCCCTTTCGACGCCCATGACGCGGGGCCTGGCCTACTAGTGGCTGCCACACATGGCACGATCATTGCACGCCTTAGCTTTCCTTTCTCCGTGTTGGTCAATAGGTTGAAGGAGGTAGAGATCCTTCTAAGAGATGAAGCGCAACAACTGGGTACCCCAGGGTCCAACTGCCTACTGTCCCACATACGACAGGCGCTAGACGTCATGATTGGTGATCACAGGCAGCCTGCGGGAGGGTCTCGCCCGAACTATCACTTCGTAACGGAGCTGCTCGAGAAAAGAATTGTGGCCTCAACTCCATCCCTCCCGCCCTTTTCACGCCCACAACGTTGCCAGAGGCCCTGTTGAAACAGCTGCAACATGGCCCGGACCATGGAAAAAGGGGCAAGGAGATATGCCCTCATGGGGTAGACAAACTGTGCATGCGGGCATGGGAGTGCCCGACCCCACAGCGAACTCCATGTTGGAATCCATCCTTTGCCTCAGTCATTCCAAACCAAAGGCGGCGGAGTCGGTCATGCAGGCGGCGGGCCTCAAGCCTATTGTGGGGATGGCGATCAATATCTCCCTTAGCACTTCAATGCGACTCCCGCCGGAGGTTTCTGCCATCATGTACGCATGTAGGTACCCTGAGGCCTGCACTTTTGCACTAGAGGGACGGAGCCCCACCCTCCTAATGCCACAAGGGCCCAGCCTGAAGCGCTTGCTGGAGCGCCCTCTTCGTAGCCCTGCAGGGCGATGGATGGAAACCTGCAGGTGGGTCAGCATTAAGACAAGGCACCCATTGGCTTCGTCTCCCAATATGCCAAATTTGTTCTGCAAAGCAAGTATCTCCTACGGTCTAGCTTTTATCGGAGGAGGAACTAGGTGAAGCACACGTGAGCCTCATGGAAGCGTGCAAGGCGTCCCAGAAATGCCCTCTGAAAGGGCATCCTAGCACTGGGACATGGGCGCCTTCAAGAACTTCCTTATCGCCAACCTTGGGGCGCTGAAGAGATACTTTCATGCCATCACCACAGCGTGCTCGACGGGGCCCACCTTCGGCGTTTGTGTATTTGTCACAAGTAGAGCGTCTCGCTTTCTATACCGGAGTGAGGCTGGCTTTGCCCGAGCGACTTCTTCTTTCACTAGAGGGCTCGGCCCGATGATTTTCCTGACACCGTCCTATCGAGACGGAGTTGGAGCCTGCTTTCAAATGGCAGCCTGCGCGACAGGGGGGATGATCGACAGTCAAGAATACCTGCGTATACTCAAGCAAGCTTGTGGAGCATTGCGGATCCAGGTGTTGCCGCAGTTTCGCACAAGCAGGCATTCCGCGAACAAACGGTTGCCAGCTTCGTTCTCCCCACTGATCGTAAGGTAGGGGCAGCTCTCTTTGCCACACCGTCATTAGCCACAGCTTGGGTGCTGAAGGCCACTTGGCAGGATGAAAGCACCATCTTACACCGTGACTTAACATACGAGTGCAGAGGGCAAGCCGCCTTGTTCAGCTCCCAAAAATATTGGGGCACCGTGTCGGAACTGCAGGCTCAGGGACTCACTCTGGAGCCCCTGCCCAATGCCGTGTACTGCGTGTGGGTTCAAGAATTATCTGGAAGGAGTGGCGGGTGGAGGTTGCTTGGCAGCCACCGAATTTGTACTTCCCGCCGGTACAGGGCTGTTTCCGGGGAGTCTGAGTCAATCGCCGTCTCTTGGACGGCGTTGCCCGCTCTTACTGGAATTAGACGCAGGCCTTGCGGGGCCTGTTCAATGCCAGCCTTGTGTTCAAATGGAGCATCAGCCTGCGGCGCCGGCCCTCTTTTTGGTGGGGCCAACAGCTTGGCATCGCCCAGGAGATGCGTGGGGTACTTGGCGGCGCGCCGCCTGGTGGCTCTGCTCAAGTCAGGGTGGGGAGATGGGGGGCGTCGTGGCACAAGCCTGCCCCAAAGACAGCGCGAGGCTCGGTTGCACGTGTGGCCACCCCGCCGCCGCCCCCTCACAGGGAGGCGTCACGGACGCCGTGTGTTACGTCCCGGCAAATCGCGACGGACAGTGGCCCCCCTAAAAAGGAGGCTGGGGTTGCCAC